GCGAGGCAACGGACCAGCGGCGGCGGCGAGGCAGCGGCAGCGGCAGCGGCGGCGCGAGGAAAGCTGAGTCAGCAACACCACGCAGATACGACTCTCGTAGGCAGAATTAGGTAAACTACTTTAAGTCGAATAAATTTTGTAAAAGCGAGCGAAAACATATGTTCGGGAACTGGCGTTTGCAACAACGCGGCGCACAATCCGAGCGAGTAGCGCGGTCGCTACGAAGTCTATTACCGGTACGGGAACCGAGAACCGCACCGGCGGCGCTTTATCAAGACGCGGAAATACATAGGCAAGATAGGAATTTGAGCCCGAATGTAATTGTAGAAAGAGAATTTTCGTTCGATTTAGACGGTAGTATAGCCGGTCATTTACAAAGTGAAATAAATCGCGGTAGAGTTGAGAACAGTGGAACCCCGGGCAGTGGTACTTAAAGGTCGTCTTTAATTTCATACGAGAGCGAGTTGTTTTACACAAGACAGCGTGCCGAAATAAATAATGAAAGTATGGAACAAGAAATTGACGAACAAAATATAAACCGGGCTCGCGAAAAAATGGAACGCGAAATTTCACGGATGCGAAACGAGTTGACTGCGGGCGGCACCGCGGAGCGCGGGGCCGCGGGAACAAGTGGGCAAGGTAACAACCCCACTGACGCAATGCTACAGCAGGTAGTGCGGTCGCTAGAAATAATAAGTTCGCGGATAGACGCGGTGGACCGACGGGTGACGGAACTCCGCGAGACGCACGGGCGCGGGACGGGCGTGTCAATGACGCGACACGTGTACAGACGTCCGAGCGAACAGCTAGACGTAACGTATGGGCGAACAGCTGACGACGTAAGAAATCGCGTCGTGATGTATAATGGAAGTCTGAAATTAAAGGACGTGGTCGGAATGATACCGACGTTTACCGGGAAATCATCCGAGCAAATTCGAGAATTTTTAAATGCATGCGAGTACGCAGAGGGAATGGTCAACCCTGCGGAGAAACCCGCTCTTTTGCAAGCAGTATTGCGAACCAAGCTGAGAGGGCAAGCATTGATAGATTTCGAGACAAAGGACATTCGCGATTTTGGACAGTTAAAAGCAGAAATAGAAGCTACATATTCTGCAAAGCAAAGCACTACACAATTACAAATAGAGTTTAACACATTACGACAAAAAAGTAATGAAAGCGCACAGGCTTACGGACAAAGGGTAAATCAAACAGCCATGGAATTGTATGAGTCTATGGTGGAAGGCAAAGGGCACACCATGGAAGAGAAATGTACAATTATGAACACTATTAAAGGGCAAGCGTTGCAACAGTTCCAAATAGGTTTAAGAAGTGACGTCAGGTTGATAATAAGGTCACGCAA